CCCCCCCCCCAACCCCATTAGCCCTTTTCCCATCAATCAATGAACAACCATTTATTAAGTGATGCCAGGTGCAGTTATAGGTGCTGAGGATTCAATAAGAAACAATAATGTTCCCCGTTTACCCATATATACATATTGGTCAATGGAAGGGAGTGGTCATGAACTAAGCCCCAGGATACTTCCCCCTTCCCATTCAAGGCCAGCCCTGGTCAGGTAGTAGGGGGAGGTGGTTCCCTTCCTCCCCTGCTTAGTAGGAAACAGAGAAGACAGTCATTGCTGCTGGGGCCCCTGTCCTGGGAGTGAATGATGGAGGGGCATCGCAGCAGTCCTATCTACCTCTCAGGACTTTGTGACTAATCAATCACATCAATGATTGGAGACATAGCTGGAAAACCCCACAGTGGGACTGAAACCAGGCAACAGATTTCCAGATGGGCCTTGGTCCTTTGGAATGGAAGCCAGGGAGGAGAGGGAGAGGCTGGTCCGGGGAGGCTGGGCCGGCTTGCTCCTTCAGCAGCTTGTTCTAGGCATACCCTGTGACTTCTCCTCCCTCTGCTTCCCATCCTACCATCCTCCCTCCACCTCCAAGCTGGACTCAAGTCTAGGAGGGTCACTCACCAGACCATTCAGGCTTTTGTTGGGGACACTCAACAAACTGAAGTGGGCATGGTCAAAGTCACCTGCAGGGAAGAGAAGCAAATGATGGAGGATGTGTGTGTGTGTGTGTGTGTGTGTGTGGTGTAGGTGCTTGTGTGTCCTTATTGTGTACCATCTGTGCTGATGGTGTCTTTGGGTCCTGGGTATAAATATAGTGCTTGCAGCTAGTTATGGGCAAAGTCCTTTGACAGTTGTATAATTGAGCCTTTACTGTCGTACTATGGAGCATTCAAATGTGGAGGTATGTCTGTTTTTGTGTGTTTCTTTCTGGGTAGCTTCATCCAGGTTATCCAGGTTGCAGAAGAGTGACACCTTGGATTGAGGACATACCTTTTCCCTACAGGGTTCCCACCCTCTTCTCTGTGATGGCGTGAGGATGTGTGAGGTAGACAGAGAGCGAGGATCAGGCATTGTTCTTCCCATTTGCCAGATGGGGAGAGAGGGTCAAGGGAGCAAATGTCCTAAGCTCATAGATTTGGAAGTGGAAGGGGCCTTGGGGGCCATTTCTTCTAACCCTCCCTCCCCAACTTTACAATGGAGGGTCCAAGGACTAGGGAGGCTAACTGCTTGCCTGAGGTCACATATCTCCTCTCATTTTTTTCACATTCCTGGACTTGTCCTTGGTCCCATAGCCTATAGAGGTTCTATATAGGGACCTTGCCTCCTTCGTGCCCACGCATGGGACTCCAGACAGGCTGGACCAGGTGGGCATTGTTACCTTTGCAGCAGTAGGTGGATGATTGGCAGTGCTCATCAGGGAGTTTGGCCATGACTGTGTCCATGTCCATCTGCCGCAGGGTGGGCAGGTAGGGGTGGTACAGTTGCTGTTTCACCCCTGGGAGCATGTTTCTCCTTGGAGGTGTGGGGAACATGATGGCTGGAGACACGGAAGCTTCAATTGAGTTATCACTCCAAGGAACCAGGTCGATGATCCGAGCCATGGCTGGGAAACTCTGTAGTGAGATAAAACCAGATGACAAATATCCAGTAAGAAGACTGAGCTGTGAGACCACCAGGGGTCTTGGCCCCTTCCAGAATCCTCTCCCTCTCACCAAGAATTGAGAAGCAAAAGGAGAAATAGAGAACGGGGCCCGAAAGCTATTAGGCCTCCTTCATCTTCAGCCCCAGCCCTAGCTTCACTGCTCTTTTGGCCAGGGGTAGAAGGTTTCAATTCTCACAGCCCACCCTGGCAATTGAAGCCTTGAACTCCAGAAAGGGGAGACCACAGGAGCCTGGTCCCATCTCTATTCATCCTCCTCATCCCTGTCTAAAATCCCCTCCTCTCTTTTTAAGGCTGAGGACACTCCTTGGCTCCCTCCCTTTCACTACCAACTAGAAAGAAGGGAATCTATAATATCTAGCATTTATACACTGGTATAAAGCTTACAAAGCTCTTTACATCGGTTGTCTCATTTGGTCTCTAAAGTAAGTACTGTTATTTTCCCTTTTTTTTCCAGCTGGAGATGGACTAAAGCCTTCCTCTGGTCATGGGAACTACAGATCATATTGAAGGTTTCACTCTGATTCCCATCCATGAACAGAAAAATGAGCAGTGAATTAAAAAAGAAAAAGAAACCCAGCTCAGGAGCTTCTGTGACATAAAAGGTCGAAGGAAGAAAATTCCTCCAGAAGTCCAATTTGAAGTATCAGTGGATGAGTCGGAAGATGCATCAGGGAAAAAACTAAATTGGATAATAAGTATGTTAAAGGAATTCAAGGTGGATTCTAATTTAGTTCTTAAAACACACACACAAAATACCAGCTAGGAAAACTGCAAAGTGATAGCTCCAACCTGAAAATCTTGGTACCAGAGTCATATATGAGAGTCAATTAAATAAAGCCGAAGTCATTAGATGGAAAAACAAAATGGAAGAGGGAAGAGGCACCTTGGACTGCAACAAAAACGATGGAGGGACATGCCAAACAAAATAATTTGGAATAATAATAAATTTGGAAAGTCAAAAAAGAAACACAAATATCAGATTAACTAGAGCTGAAAAAGATACTGAAAAAAGAAAAAAAATAAAGGCTCGATGCAGTATTTGAGGAACTAATTAGGAAAAAATCTCCATGGTGGTTCAGATCATGAAGCACTAAAATGAAGGAAAATACAGGACAATGGCAAGAAGAAATTCTTAAGTTGGATTCACTGACATCTATAATTGATCGATGAACATTTATTAGGTGCTTACTGTGTACCAGTGACTGTGCCTAATACTTGGTACATACTAGGTGCTTAAGTGTTTATTGACTAAGCACTGGGCAAAAATTTAAAAAACCAACTCCTGCCCTCAAGGAGCTCCCAGTCTAAAGGGGGAGACAACATGCAAATAACTATGTACATACAAGACACACACAGGATAAACTAGAGGCAACGAACAGAGGGAAGGCACCAGAATTGTAAAGATAAAAGAGTAGACCAAACTACCCCAGGAGCAGGAGCAGAATTAGAATCAGAACCCGTATCTCCTGGCTCCCCAACATTCCTTTCCTTAGTGTAGTATGATGGAAAGTCCTTCTCCAGTCCTGACTCCTATGCTGTTGTCTCACAATCTCAGCCTCCCCCCTCAGAGGGGTAGGCACCCAAAGACATGGGAGTCTTGGAGAGAGAGGGAGAAAGGAGAACAAAATCTGGACCATGAGGTCCTAGAATGGGAGGTGAATGTACAAAGTAGTCCTGAGGAAGAGTGCCATACTGGAAAGTTTTGAAAGCTAGCAGGCATCATAAAGGTACTGAGTGACCCAGCTGGCCAGGGAAGGCAGAGGAAGATAATCAGGAAAAAGTCATAGGATGATGGGATTTAGAACTAAAAGAAACTTTAGGGACCATTGATCTCAACCCTTTCATTTTAAAGCTGGGGAAAATAAGGTCTCAAAGGTTAGCAAGTGGCCCAAGCTGGCAGGAGGAGTTAAGTGGCAAAGCCAGAATTTGAAAGCAGTAAATTCCAAGGCCAATGTTTTTTCCACTATTCTGATGTTAGGAGGCCATCACCAGTCCTCCTGATCTATATCTGGCCATTGGGCCCAGATGGATACAGAGGAGAAAGTGAGGCTGGTGACTTTGCACAGCCCTCCCTCATTCAAATCCAATTCAATTGCAAATCATGGCATTTTCTTCCTGACCTCATGATCCAGTTTGAAAATGAAGGACAAACCGCCACACCTCTAAGGGTTCGGAAAGGGAGGTGGGAGGACTCAGAAAGGGAGGGGAGGAGTTGCTAGTAACAAACCTTGCCTCCTTTGAAATCCTCGGAAAGTCTGACTTCTCTTGACTTTAGAGAGGGAGACATCATCCAGGGGACAAGGAGTTCTGATGCGCTTGTGGGTTAGGCTTCCAATTTTATCCAGTCACCATATGTCCAAGGAGGAAGCAAAGAAGTAGGAAGGGAAGAAAGATCAATGCTCCAGCAGAAGGGATTAAAACAAACAGACATTCTGGGGAGACAATATCTATCCTCTCTGAGTTCCTCCCATTGTGAAGTCTTCATCCCTGGTCCTTCCGTTTACTGATCCCCTTATTCACCAGGACAACGGACAGCTCCGATCCAAAGTCTTTCTTGGGCAGGAAAGGCAGGGTTGCTAGGTTACTAGAGTTGTGTCACCAAAGTTACCTGGATACTGATGACCTCTATTCAGTTCAGCTGAAAGGAAATTCTCCCTGTTGGGGAGGGCTCTGGCCAGCTGCTACAGAGGATAAGAGAAGCAGTTCTTCAGGGGAATATGAGTCAGAGAACTGGGGGGCTGCTGTGTTGTGGAGAGAGGGGGAGGATGGCAGAGGGAGAACAGGCTCAGAGTCAACCCAGAGGAACCCCACTCACCCCACCCCTACCCCGAAGCAATGCCAGGCAGAGCAAAATTCACCTTGTGGAGGCAGAGGAGAAATAACTCTGCCCATGATGTTTGGGTACCTAAATGAGTTCATGGATTCAGCCCTTTGTCTCTTTGAGCCAGATCCTGACCACATCCCAAGGAATAGCAGCTGTCTGAGTCCAGCAGCATGGCCCAGGGCAAGGTTTCTCAAAAGAGGAGTTCAGAGAGAGGTTCAAGGTAGACTTAGACTTCAAGGTACACCAGGCTTCTGGCTTATTTAGGAGAGGTAGTGAGATGGAATCTTCACTAGAGTCCTCAGACTTTTGGCAAGAAGTGGCTTGTCATTTCCCTAAATCTTAAAAATGGTTGAAATGTATGATAAAGTTGGCAAAACAATCCACACACATGATCTAATTTGGGCTTCACAACCACTGTGGGAGTAGGGGAACAGGGGCAGGGGTTGAGGATCAGATCCCATTGTACCTGCTTGCCCTGAGTCGTGCTCATCCATGTCATCTAATGAATTCAACCCGGTGTCCACCTACCCTGAGTTCCCATCACCTTTGCTTGGATACCAATAGAGCAGGAGAGCTGTCCAGTAGGTGTCCTTCCTTCTCTCCATGTGAAACTTCTGGGTAATTCCTTTATTTGCAATTTGCCAAAGCCTTCTCAAGCCCACTGCACATTTCTCCATTGCTTTTTGGGAGAGCTTTAATTTTAAATTCTTTATGGAAGATAGTAATCCATGACTCATAGACACATATGTGCATATACATGTATATACACATATATATGTATGTATTATGTATGTATTATGTATGTATATCACATTGCCAGAAGAATACTGGAGTTAAAAAGGTGGGCTTTTGTTTCTAAAGGAACTGTGTGATTTCTTTTAAAATTTAATTTTATCCAATGAACAGAAATCTATTTTCTCCGTCTTACCCCTCCCCTCCCCATTGAAGAAGAAAGAAAAGGGGCAACTAGGTGGCATAGTGGACAGAGCTCCAGCCTTAGAGTCAGAAGTACCTGAGTTCAAATCTGGTCTCAGACACTTGACACTTACTAGCTGTGTGACCCTGGGCAAGTCACTTAATCCCGATTGCCTCACCAGAAAGAAAAAAAATTTATTGGAACAAATATGCATAGTCAAGCAAAACAAATTCCTATATTGTCCACATCCCAAAATTCCCAGCCTGAGGAAGGGAAGGGAATAAGCATTATATAGCACCTACTATGTACCAAGCACTGTGTTAAATGTTTTGTGAATACCACCTCATTTTATCCTCAACAATCTTCCGAGGTAGGTGCTACCATGATCCTCATTTTACAGTTGAGGAAACTGAGGTAGATGGAGGCTAAGAGACTTGCTCAGAGCCACTGAAGTTAGATTTGAACTCAGTTCTTGACTCCATGCCCAGTGCCCTATTCATTGTATCATCTAACTGCTTCTTGTCTACACCCATAGTCCATTAACTCTCTGTCAGGAGGTGGATGGCATGTTTCATCCTAAGTCTTCTAGAATCATGATTGGTCATGATCAGAACCACAGTTTTCCAGAGGCCACACAATCTGCTCCCTTCCTCTCCTTAATTCTGGACTCAGCTGACCTTCTATTTACAGTGTCCATTCCACATATATAGGATGAGAGGCTAAATGACCTATCCAGCTGGTCAGCATCTCTGGTGGGAATTGAATCCCAATTCTCTTTGACTTCAGGTCCAACATGCTACCCACCACAGCACACCTAGCGCTATTACCAGCCCACCTTGGGAAGGTGGGTAATGATGCTGAAACTGACATTTCAGATCTGGAGAATGGCTATCACTGTTCCCCATAATCCTCTTCCCTAGTGGGAATCGTAACAAAGACAGATGCATGGCAGCAGAGTCAGCCTTAAGGTTTTGTTAGATAAGGCTCTGTGAAGCTTGGTTTATCAGTGTCAGCCTGTTGGATGCTGGGCTTTAAGTAAGGAAAGCTGACTTTGCTGCTTCCCAGCTGTGTGACTTTGGGTGAGTGACTTCCCCCTTCTGGGTTTCAGTTCCCCAATATGTCAAAGCAAGCTCGAGCTCGATAGCTAGATCATAGAACTGGAATGCCCCTTAATTAAGCAAATAAATTTTACAAGAAACCAAAACCCAGAAGATGACATTTAGTTGATCAGAATCACACAGGAGGAATAATTTGGGAACAAGAATTTGGACCCAGGTTCCCTGACTCCAAAGCCAGTGCTGACCATTCCAGTTCCAGGTATTACGATCTCTTTGTAGCACCCACCCCGTTGGTCAGTAATTGATCCTGTGGCAGCCAAGCGGTGGAATATATAGGGTTCGGGACTTGGAGTCGGGAAAGCCTGATTTCAAATTCTGCCTCAGACACTAACTAGCCATGTGACCCTGGTCAAGTCACTTATTTTCTGTCTCAGTTTCCTCATCTGTAAGATGCAGATAATTATAGCACCTGCTTCCTAGGATCATTGTGACAATCAGATGAGATAACAAATGTAAAGTGTTTTGCAAACTTCGAATGCTGTATAAGTGCCAGCTATTATAATTTCTAAGGACCTCTCAGCTCCTGAAGAGCTGTTGCAAAATCCAAGGTAAAAGATAAAATGAGGTGTTAGTTGTGTTTTTTTTTCTCCTTCTGTGCAAAAGCAATGGGAGGATTGCCCTGAAAACTCGACGGAGGGGGGGGGGGGGGGGGGAGGGGGAGGAAGTGGGGTCTGGTCGGCTTCTTTCTTCACTGGGATGTAAACATAGTGCCTGGTGGAGATTAGAGACTGCCCGGGAAATCCGAGGTCAGCGGTAAAAGGATCAGGAAGATTGGCAGCCTCAGCAAGTCCTGGATTAGCTCAATGACACTCACTCTACCTTAGGCCTTCTGGAAATTGGCCCTCTTCTAGTTTTGTGACCTCAACAGGAAGCAAGAAGGAAGCTAGGAAGAGAAGATCTGGAGGGACAGCCTTCACCCTGTGCCGCCGGCCCCACAGTACTTGGACTACCATCTTACCATTGAGGCCTTAGAGCAGGAAGGGACTTAATCCTTTTATAAATGAGGAAACTGAAGGCTAGAGGAGAAATGATCCCCTCAATCTGCCTGTTCCTCTTTTCCTCCTCCTCCTCCTCCTCCTCTTCCTCCTCCTCCTCCTCCTCCGCTTCCAACTCCAAGTAGTTTCTACAAGGGCAACAGGAATGTGATTTGTATCCATGGCTCAGTTATTCTGTCTCTTCTCAAACAGTTAAGAATGCCTTGGTTCTTTTCCCAAGAGCTTTCGTTTTATGACAAACGGCTGCTCCCTTGTCTTATCTTCTTGATCCTCCTCTAGGGCTGGTCTCCCATTCCAGTGTCAGCTGTACATCCCTGACACCCCATCCTGAGCACTTAACCTCCCCCCCAACACCTTCACAGTCTGACCCTCACTTTACCTTTCAAGGCATTATCTCCTAGCCAGGGGCTTAAACTAAGAGCCCGTGGACTGTGTGGTTAGATTTCAGGGGGTTCATGAACTTGGATGAGGGAAAAAATAACGTCTTTATTTCAATATAGCTGGTTTCCTTCATAATCCTGTATATTTTATTTTATGCATTTAGAAGCATTATTCTGAGATGGGGTCCTTAGGCCTCACCACATTGCCAAGATAATTTTAAGGACCCTTGTCCTAGATTATTCCCTCAGTGCATGCTGCACTCTGACCAAATCTGACTACTCACCATTCCCTAGGCATGCCTTCTTTCTCCTAAGTCCCCACCCTTCTCCTTTGCTCATTCTATCCCCTTTGCCATAAATACCCAGTGGTGAAGAATTGGCTTAAACTGCCTCCTCTGAGAAGCCCTTTCTTATCCCCTCCAGCCAGGAATGATCTCCTTTCCTCTCCTCTCCTCTCCTCTCCTCTTCCTTTCCCTTCCCTTCTCCTCTCCTCCTCCTTCTATTTCTTCTTCTTCTTCTTCTTCTTCTTCTTCTTCTTCTTCTTCTTCTT